CACACACACACACACACACACACACACACACACACACACACACACACATGCCCCTTGGAGGGAACAGGGATCGAGGGAACAGAGGGAACAGAGATCGAGTTCAAGGGATCGAGGCCAACCATTTATCTGTTGTTTCTTCAATTCAAAATTCAATTCTGACAGTAGAAGATTGGGGGGGGGGGAACGAGATCAATGGCCCAAGATGAAGGAAATGCAGGTGGGACCGCGACCCCGATCTCTCTCTATCTTTGGGCACCGGCAGAAGAACATGTTGTCTGCTGGTACCCAAAGATGGAGAGAGATCGGGATCGCGGTCCTGATACCTCAGTGGCACTTATCCGTGTCAGCTGATCGTAAGTAGCACCGCAGAGAGCCCTTACCTCAGGGGAAGACTGCCTTCTTATTTCTAAATCTCTAAGTTCTTTCTATACTTCTTTTTTTTTTCACTTTTTTTTAAGACTTTCGTTCTCTTGTTGTCTGGTAACAATTTGGACCATTTCTCGATTTATGTGTGTCATCCTTGCGCAGGGGCCATGCTAATCTTCTCTGTATCGTTCCAATTTTAACGGATGTCTCGAAGGACTTCTCTTGTTGTTTTGCAAGTGCACCATTTCGCGATTTATGTGCGTCATGTCCATCCTTGCACAGGGGCAACAACGACTGATATTGGAATTTTGAAGACAACCTGATGGGAAACAAATAAACCCAGTCCCGATCCCAACTTCCAAGGACCATGCATTTTATAACATCTGTCTTCTCCGTGTCGCTTCCTTTTTTTTTTTTTTTAATAAATTCTAGCCGTATTTGGGGTATCTTTCATTCTAGAAACAGCAATAATGAGAGTATGTTGTATTCGCTACTATTCGGGTAAATAAAGTAGGCACGCTTAACATGCTGCGATCAGAATCAAACCTGTGGTGTCTGCAATCCTTCTGGATTCCCGTCAATAACCATCCCTTCCAGTTCAACTTACCACCTGGCCTATCTGCTTTGAGCCCATAACCGTATGAAGAAACTTAATCACTCACTAACTCCTGTGATGCGTCCTGACTTTTGCAGAGCTCACTCTTTCTTGCTCGGCAAGGCCGGGAAGGTGTCCCATATTCGCCCAAAGGCCACACATTGGGATTTCCCACCCAACTGCACATTCATGCCCTGTGAATTAAACATAACTTTGTCACAGGCTGTGACCTACTCAAAAAAGGGCTGTGCATTGCCGTTGGGATCTCCCGGCAAGCACTCGAGTGCCATCCCCTGCAACTTCCTCGCAAAAAAGGAGAGTAAGACCAGCCTACCATCTTCACCCGAACACAACGTATGGTCATTATTGCTGTATTGAGACTAAAAGATGCCCCAAATCCAGCTATAACGACTGTTCGTTGTATTCCGGTTAAGATGGTAGGCACGTCGGGCCATCAAGTGCGCCCCCCCCCGCCCCAAGGCAGTCGACACTTGTCCCCATCCACTGAAAGGTTGACCCTGGCCTTCTCCAACACTACCGCGTAGCTCAAGTATGCTCCAGGGCAGATGGAGGCCTCTTCTCCAAAGGGTTGGCCCAAGCCTGGTCAGACGGAGGCCCAGGTTCACTCAAGCCATGCTCGAAATCTACTCAAGACCGCAGCACTCGTCCCAGGTCTACGCAAGACTCCGCCAATGTCCCGCCATGGCCCACGTCTGTTCAAATGCTCTATCTAGGTCCAGTTAAGTAAGGCTGTCCCACATCCGCCCAATGCCCCCCCTGGATCGGTTAACAGTTATCCCCGCCCACTGAAGGGTTGACCTCAAACTTCTCCAAGCCTCGCTTAGGTGTGCTTCTGGGAAATTGCAGGCCTGCGCCATGGGGCTCGCCCAAATTTGGTCAAAGTGTGGCTCAGGTCCACTCAAGCCATGCCCCGAATCTACTGACTTCCACCGAGCATACCGCACCCAGATTATGAATGTATACAAGCCATTATTCCGGTCAGATACAGTCATAATGCGGAAGCATGGTGTTCAGAGGAAGACGGTAGTCAAAGCTGCAAGGGTTGTCCCAGGACTACTCCAGGCTCAGCCCATGTCCGGCAGAGGCTTGTCCCAGGTCTGCTCAAACGCTCTATCATGGTCCAGTTGACGCTGGCCCGGGCACATCGAACGCTCCCCTTTGACAGCAGTTTAGCATTCGGCCGCGTAGTCACAGAAGGATTTGACCCCACTCTTCTTCTCAACTCCAGTCTGCTCCTGGAACTAACCAGTTCATGTCATCTCCAGGGGTGGCACAGATACGCTCGAAGGCTGCACTACGGTAGGTCCATCCTAAGATCAGTACAGATCTGCCTGCATCTTTGCCCCGCAAGGCCAAGGCCTCGTCCAGGTCCATGCCAGCTTTGCAAGCCATGCAATTTGCTCCTGGCTCTCTTGGATTGACGCAGATCCACCCGAGTGATTACAGTACCCAGTTCCTGTGAACCAGCTGGCTTGCATGTGCCGGTCAAGGTGCTCGGATCGCTCGTGTCACCAGAACCAGCATCAAGCGGGTGAGGCGCAAGGTCGTGCACCAATACACTTGGCCACTATGCTATTACAGACCTGATCCCAAGCCGGATGGACTTGGCCACACCGGTATTTCAGAGATTGTCCCAAGCCTGATGCTTCTGCATCTTACCAACAACAACAACAGGCTCAGGCCCTCACCTAGCAACTTGAAGATCAGGTTTGTGTACCACATGGGAGCAGCAGCCCAGCTATCGGGGTCCCAATTATCGAAGTCCCACGCATGATCTCTGCCGTTACCCGTCATCTCCAGGCTGAGTGCCCAGACCACGAACACTAGCCGATAGGACATGAAATCTAGTAGCATAATCATATCTCAAAGTAAGGCTTGCGCATTGGCCCTTCGGCTTCAAAAAGACGCTCGTAACTCCAGCTAAAGGACTCCCATAAAGTTACCACAGGAGTAACTGGCTAGTGGCAGTCAAGCGTTCATAGCAACGTCGCTTTTTGATCCTTCGATGTCGGCTCTTCCCATTATTGTCAAGCAGAATTCACCAAGAAAAATAAGAAAAGGAAACCCAAAAAAAAAAAAAAAAACCGCCCTCCCATAGACCAGCATTTCTTGAGGTTTCTTATCAGCTCCTCCTCCTCCAGCCTCTACGTCTCCATAACCTTCGAACTTCAATGAACACACAATGGGAAATTCTAATTGAATGCGTTCAAGGAGCAGGTCACGCCATGTACCTTCATTGATTGATATGCGGCATGTAATCAGGTCACATCACTTCACTCATTGATACGTGGCAGGTGACCATACTTCTTGGTAGCCATAGCTTAGGCCCACCCCCGGATCATCTTCCACACTGTCCAAAATAGGAGACGCCATAAGCCAAGCTCAGTCAATGGCATGCGTCTACACAATAAGTTCATTCATGGCTGTCCCTCAGCCCTGCTCGTGACCTTCACCAAGCCTTAGCTTGTTTCTCCACCTTTCAGCATCTATATTTTACTCAAGGGAGAACCTGCTGATTACCCAGTCTTTGACACCGCTCAAAGCTTGAACTATACCACCCAGCCAAAGAAACCCAAAAAGGGAAAAAGAAAAAAAACAAAGGAACTGTCATCCAGCTGCATGATCAATCCCACACGGCAAAACCACTAACAGCCACATTTCAAGTCTGTCCCAAGGTCATGTTTTCGGACCTTGCGGAATCCGATGAAGTAACTTACCGCGATGGCGTATATAAGACATACCACTTGCCATGCTAATACGGCTTGGAAACTCTTCCCAAAGAACGCATCCATTGAATAAAACTGCACAGTGAAAAGGCCATCCATAGAGTTGGCTGCGCCCCGTAGCATGAACGATATTGGTCCACCGAAGACAACCATGATCATCAACCAATGCACCGCGGACAACAGTGTTTTGGACTCTCGTTTCGATAAGAATTCGAGCCTCCGAGGAGAAGTGTGAAGACTTGTGATTTTGCCAGAAAAAGTCATTCCTGTTGAAGCCTTGTCTAATGGAGCAACTCCACCCACCTTTCGCAATCCGCCGCCATCTGCACATACCCCGTACGAATGAGATGATGCTCTCGACTGCGCTTCCAGATCCGGCCCGCTGGAAGGGAGACAAGACATTCTCAGGACCCAGAGCAGGTGATGATCGAACGGATATGCCGCTAGCCACAATGACGCGTAAGCAGAAAGAAGACCCATGTGCAAGGAGATGAAGAGGAAGGGTACGGCATAAATGAGTCCCGAGATAATAGCCGTCCTCAAAGACCGTATCCTATCTTTTTGACAATCAGCCCTTCTCTGCAACTCATAAGCCTCGAAGCACTCCTCTCTGTCGTGAGTGGCGTTAAACCCCCTGCTCACAACAACAGCAAAGGATGGAGGGATAACCTCCCACGCGCCCTCTTGCGCACCTAGCACCTCTGGCGTCAGATCTGTTTCCGGCGACGGGTCTCCAAACATCCTCATTCCATACAGTCCAACCGCACCACCTACGCCGCTATCCTGCTTGGCATTTCCGAGATGAGGCGGGGCCAAACCCCTGCCAACGAGACGGTCACGGAATGTGTCGGACTGCATGCGGCTCCAAGCAATTAGTTTGCGTGCCGACTCCTCGGGAACATCGAGAAACTGCCAAGCGGAAAATCCCACCCGAGATCCGGGGTGAAAAACTTCTTTCGGCCAAAAATCTCGCAGCCGAATGACGGTATTCTTTCCACCGCCATCCAAATTGCCGCCCTCAGCGCTGGCTTTCCCCGCTTTGATTCCCCACCTCTGCACCTTCAGCCCCGCCTTTTCTTCTATCCATCTCTCACGAGACAAGAATTGCAAGGACGGAGACGACGGGGTGCTATGCCGACTACGATGTCCAGGACTATGTTGTGTGCTGTCTATAGCCAGATAGCTAAGAGCCAGAGAGAGATTGGTGCGACTCAGCCTAAGTGTGCTACGTGCCGTCGCCTCCCTGAGATACATCCACTCGCCTTTCGGTGCGTACTGAACAAACGTAGGTATTGCCGGTCGATCTGGACACATGTTTTCCTGCAAGTCTAGCGCTATCAAAAGAGATGTTCCCACCATCAGAAGCACGGACAAAATCGGCAAGGTCATGGCGGCGAGGCATGCAGACCGGCGAACAGCTGGCACCAAATCGTCATCCATTGATCATGAAATTATTATACGCCAATAATATGATATAGTACAGTAATTCCTCTTTTGGTAATAACAACGACGATGATCGTTTCCCTGCTTCAAAATCCTGGGGCCGAAGATAGTCACAGTTCCTTGTTCCGCCCCAAAATCTTACCACGATTCACAATCGGCGTCTCCTTGCACTCTCCAGCAATTGTTGCTACAATGGAGAAGCACAACTTTCTCGCAAAGGTGGGAATCTACCCTGCCGGTAGCTACCGACTACCTGAGGTCGCATTTCATTCCCCGGCCTAGTGCCAAACACATTTTACATATTCATCCATATACATATACTTACATTGTGTCCAGTTACGCATATGGTATATACTTACATATAGATGAATCCGCTCATAATGTTCGTTGGAATGGTTTTCTCCAAAGCCGAAGGTCACCGAACAGGATTTGAACACACGATCATTGTATCAACAGTTCCATGTGCGTACCAGTGACCCAGATCGGCTACATGTATGTAATTCATAGCCTAGATACAGGGTTTCTCGCCTCGCTTCTGTCACCTACAAGAACCACCTCATGACATAGACATTTCAGAAACCTCGGCAACAAGCAGCTGAATCTCAACAGATCGTGACGAGATCACAGCCCTACTGCTTACAGCAGACCTTTTTTCTCGCCTAACACATCTGCAAATGCTTGTTAATCGAATTTACAGACTCCGAGATCCGGTTGAGTTCAATCATAGGAAGAACGTTGATCTCGTCGAGTTACGCATCCATCGTCATCGACGTCCAGCGCATGGCCCGCGATTCAATGTCCACGTAGCCAGTTCTCCGCCTGAGGTTGCAACAGCAACAACTCCACGTGCCAATCGAGGGCCGATAAGCCTCCAGCCTGCAACAAGGACAACTCCGCGCATCAATTGTGGGCCCCGTAGCTCTTCACTCACCACGCGACTACTTTTTTTACCCCAATTATAAACCTCAATACGAGGCCGGGGACCTCACAATTCAACCCGGAAAACTGACAGCATCAGCCAGCTTAGCTGACAGGCTTTCGCCTCCAGAAAGTCACTGTTCCAGAGTTAAAACTTTCCAACTACCACAGCAGAGCCTAACTCTATCTATCATCAATTATCAGGGGAGCTGTTACAAAGAAGTGACCGATGCCCAATGTTGTGTCCAGTGCACTTACCTGAAGAAGTTATGATAGTATTTCAGAAATTTCAGATTACCGAAGACTAGCTACTTTGTTCCTTCACAAAAAAATCCTGAATTTTCCGGAGTTTTTTTAGTTGCTCTCAGCCGAAGCCGGGTAAGCCCAGTTCCTACCACGTGCGGCTCCCTACAAATAGTCTGGAGCATTGTTGTTCAAAAAAAAAAAAAAAAAAAAAAAAAGCCAGTAAGCTACCTGGGGACACACTACCTGACTATGTTACGTCAGGGACGAACACGGCCCGGACGACCGCGTCCAAAAGACCCACACACTCTCCTAAAGGCCCACAGCGACCCTACTGGAACCGGGTGCCCTGGTTCCTGGGCTCCTGGTGCCGGGATACCACAACTGACTAACCAAACATTACCTAACAGCACTCTCTATCACTGCTACCTGACCGTCCATCGACCGAGTGCCCTGGTCGCTCGGTAAGGAGCTCGACTCCCACTACCAACTACCCCCAACTACCTCCTACCCCCGTTTGCTTCGTCCAAGACCCATTTCAACAACACCAAGCCCTTCCTTGAATGAATGGCTGCAAACTGGTGACTCTTCGCCCATGCGTGGAGAAACCAGTGGATTTGTCTGCAACCCCCCTCCCCTGCTTTTGTTTTCCTCCTCCAGTCCACCCAGATGGCCTGCTTCAGCCCCTGCTTGATATGTTTCTTTATTTCCAGGTCTGAGTACGGGCGTACCTGGAACCTCGGCCGATTTCTGTCAACCCAGATTGTTTCACAGATCAGGCCCTTCACCACATAAAACGTAGCCCCAACCACGATTCCCCTCCATATTGGACGGGAGGAACCCCAACAAGACCCACTTTTGGCCCCACTCCACTCCCTGTGCCCCAAATTCCCTCCAGTGATGCATCGACCAGCTCCATATGCATTTGTAGACTGGGCAGTCCCACCGTGGATGCCGGGTGGACTCAAAGGCCATCTGCACCGCGTACAGCCCAGACTCACTTCCATTCCTCTGCTTGTTAACCACACCGCAGAGGGGGATACCATCAACGAAAACAACCACAAAAGGCTGACCTGTTTAGCGTTGGGGAGGGATGCCAAAATTTCCCACAGCCTTTCGAATTCTGCCTCGCCATCCGTCACATCTTCACTCCACACAGCCTGCCACGGAGGGATTGCCACTTGGGCTGGAGATTTCTTGTGGGAGGTCAGAGGTATTTCTGCTGATTTCGCCGACCAGCTCCATGCGGTGGGATCAATGCAGAGCTGGCTCAGCAGCACTCTTCCTACCCTATAGATGGCTTCTTTCCCCGGTTGTTATCATTTGTGCTTGTGCTGGATTAACCCAAGGCAGGATGGTGTCTTCTTCCACCAGAGACAGCGTGTTTGCTGGACCCTCACACTTCCACCGCTCTATCCGTCTGAAACCACTGGGTAAAATTTCTAACACTTTCCACAGTACCTTGAGCTCTTCCGCCTGGTTTGGGACGTACCAAGTGCCCACTGGGTCCAGCCCTCCCGAACCCAGGATCGCCAGCCAATCCTGGAGGATGGTCTCAATAATCTGCCTTCAGTGGACTTCGACCCTCTGCAGACCATGGCATGTGGTCTTCACTTCAGACAGGGGCTTCCATCGTCCTAGGACCCGGGACCATAGATCTGCTACACGGACTACTCCCCTCAGGACCCAGGCTTGCCCGAAGGAACCTGTAGATCCATCCACTGCAAAGACACTACCAGCTGAATCCACAATCGCCGGGTTTTCGAACAGCAGCTGGCACAGTACTTCCTCCTTGATGGAAGGGGGCATCTTCACATCAGGGGGAAGATGATTCCAAGCACTGCAGATAAGGTCCTAGAAAAGGATGGCATGAAAAAGCACGCCCAGACGTCCTGGGGCCTGCTCAAGCCCCATTCCCCCATCAAGATATTCCGCTAATGCCACCCAGTGATCTCGAGACTCCAAGGATGCAATTTTGGCTACCCAACCGCGTAGATGGGCCTGGTTTCTGCGTGCAGGGTCTTACAGGGCGAGTCCCCCTTTGGCTCATGGGAAACTGAGGGTATCCAGGGCCACCTTGGACAAGAAGCCCTCGCTGTCCTTGACATGTGGCTTCCAGATGAACCGAGCCACCAATCTCCTGACCGCCTTTACTAACCCAACAGCGAGCTCCCTCACGGTTGTGACAATCGATAAGATGGAAAACAGAGCCACATTGGACACCACGGCTCGTCCCACCAACGACAGGTGCCAAGCGGAGCCCCACAGTCTGAGTCTTACTGCTATACGCTGCTGGACGAGTGGCCCTTGAGACGAAGCCTCAATCTGCAGACAATTCAGGACTCCCGGAAACCGTTTGTCTTCCCAACCCTCTTCATCCCCCATTCTGCCTTCAAAACAAACTGAGAAGGGAGCGGGTAAGTCGACGTCGACATGGCCCAGTTCAGTCGTCTTGGAGAGCATGGAGTACTCGCACATGACGGTATTCAGTGCAGCCAGCGACGACATGAGTTCTCACTCACCACGAACAAGTCACTCGCCAAAGCCTTTACCTTGCATTCCTCGCCCATGTGCAGATGCAGCCCCCTAATGTCAGGGTGACCCAAATTCTGTTCAGCAACACTTCAAGCTGCAGCACGAAGATGAGGGGGGCGAGTGGACAGCCTTGGCGCAGCGATCTGGACAGCGGCAAGGGTTCTGACAGGTGGTCATTAATTATGACAGCTGACGTGGAGAAGGTGTACATCGCTATTATCCAAGAACAGAACCCTTCCCCAGACCCCATCTTTATCAATGTGGTAAGGACGAAAGTCCATCCCACCTTATCATAGGCCTTCTCCAGATCGAGGAGGAGGACCGCCATTTCTAGATTCTCCCCCTGAACCACCTCCAACGTCTCAATGGCCGTCACGATGTTGTTGAAGATCAAGCATCCCTGCACGAATGCACCCTGGTCCCTTTCCACTAGATCCAGTGAGTACATCAATAGTCTGCGTGCCAAAGTGTTTGCAAATATCTTGTAGGATACAGAGACTTTGCAAGTATCTTGTAGGATACATTCAGGGGGGATATCGGACGCCAGTTCCGGACGTCCACTTTGTCGCCCTTTTTGAAAAGGACTAAGATGACTCCCTGGGTCATATCCCCCCTTTCCTAATGTGCCTCCCACCAAGATTTCGTTAATAGAGTTCCACCAACAGAGGGCCATATGCTTCCCAATTCGCAATGTAGAACTCGGCCGTGAGACCGTCCACTCCCACGGACTTCCCTTTTGCCATCAACTTGAGGGTCTGTGGTGCTTCTTCGAGTGTGGGGGGTCTGTCCAGATTCAATTTAGCTGAGGTCTGCAGTCTCACTGTGGTGTCATCCCACATATCCGAGGAGCTAGAAAGATCTGTATTCACATCCTCATGCTGCCGCTGTGTGGTGAGGATCCCCTTGTAGTCGATACTTGCATATTGAAGCATGCCTGAGGCACGACTGCATCGAAGGGATGCTTTAACTCGATCATCTGCTATTGAGTGCGCCGCGGTTGAAGCAATTGGAATGTCTCTTTTGACTTAAGCGTTCTTCCCGTTGTGCTACCCACACCATTGTTGAGATGGGGTGGCCCTCCATGTGGTCTTCCGCTTCCTCGACCCTCCTGCTGCAGTCTGCCTCTCTCTTGTTCCTCTCCCTTGCTCAAATCCTCCAGCATACATCCAAAACACGGGAGGTAAGGGTAATCCCGCCGTCGAACCACTCCACGGTTGAGTTAAAGTGGGCTGTGGCCTCCTCCCAACTTGCCATGTGCCTTGTTACCCATTTCCTCACACCCAACTCTTCCAGCACTTTGGCTGTAGTGAAGAAAGAAACCCCTGCCCCTTGCAATGCTAATATTTGGACGGATGTTCTTGACCAACAGCTTGTGATCTGATAGAGGACTGCAAACGTGTCGGACTGCAGTTACTTGGTCCAGAATCTGCACCCCTATCGGGAAAAAGTCCAATCGCCTCTTGGTCACCGCTTGCCGTTCCCCAAACAGGTGGGAGTACCAAGTGTATCCGGGGTCATCCGGGTTCAACATGGAGAAGAGGTCCACCAGTGCCAATTCTGTGCAGAAACCCAGTAGGGTTTAAACATCCTTTCGATCTGCTTGAGAGGAGCGGTGGCGCAGGGCTTCATCTAGTGACAAGCTCCAATCCCTGACTAGCACGAGATTTTCCGCTTTTGGAACGTGCAGCATGAGCCTGGTGAAGAAGTTTGATCTTTCGCTGACCTCGGTTGGCGCATAGACAGTCATGAAAATCCGCTCCTCATTGGCGATTACCACCTTCATCCATGCCCATTTCCCCCATATGTCTACTTCGGAGTCTACCACGATTGCTTGCAGGTCCCAATGGAGCAAGATGCCCACCCCGCCTCTTGTTCACGACACTGGAACCCAAACCTGTGGACTGTCCCACCAAAGTCTCGAAGTCTTCGAGCTTGTCTTCTTTAGTTTCGTCTGCTGCAACATTACGCAGTTAGCTCAACACTCATGAACCCATCTCTTTAGCCGTCTCCGTTTTGACCTGCCACTCGTGTCACCGAGCCCCCTAATATTCCAAGTAACAACCCTAATCTTGTCCACCAAGGTGCGCTGGGCCCACCTGATCGTGGATGCTGGATGTTGATCTCAGCATTCCTGACTGAGAGTGGGACTGGCCTACTGCATTCCTGTCTGCGTCTCTGTCTGTTGTGACCCTAGTGCGATGGAGATGCGAGCTGCCTCTGGAGGAGCTGGCACGAGAGCCCGGACGTCGTTCTTCAGTAAGTCTTGCCATCAGGAAGTTGGAAAGTGATTTTCTTCCTTCAGCAACTTCCCATTCACATTTAGCAATGCTAAGGTAAACACCCCCGGTAGAACCTTGATTGACTCCAGCTCCAACAGATTCCGTTCACGAACCAGGTCCATGTGAATCCATCTTACTTGATTGAGCCAGGATTTCCACTGTCTCTGGTGGTATCCGTGCGTCTAACAGGGGAAAGTAGGTTTTTCTGTAGCCTTGAACTGTCTCACAAATCAGACTTACCATGGTGTAGTGGGGTACTTATCGTAAAGGTACATGATAGCCGTACAGTTTACGGGTTTCCTCCAGAATCCTCCCCGGCGTAGGGGAGCATTCCATTGCAGAGGGGATCAGGAGGTGGGTGGCTTCATCTGACAGTGCTAGAAAGAACAGTCCCCTCTCACTGAGTATGCCGAGGAGGGGCACTACGCACCTCTGCACTGTCTCCATTCGGTTTCTCCCCACTGTATCTGCTCGATCGTTCTTGTCCGGCGCTCTCCGCTCACCTCTGTCCTGTCTGTGCTCTGATCCCGCTGAGCTTTCCATTGAGGACAACTCAGATTGCTTGGAGATGCAGCAGTACTCGGCATCACATTCGCTTCCTCTCGCATTCTCAACTGGGAAGCGCATGATGCTTCGGAGAGTTCCCCCTGAATCTTCAAGCCTGCTGCCTGATGGCCATCCAGGCCAACCCCTCCTGTAGCCTCTCCCTCTTCTCTCACTGCAGGAATCGCGGATGGTGGGCCTTGACGCCATGTCTGAGCATCATCTACTCTCTGTCTCCAGCTTGCTTCTTTCCATGAGTCCCACCTCGTGCAGCTGCTTCTCACTCTCCGTCTGTGTGCGAGGAGCCCATCCCATCCCATTGTGGGAGTTCTGACATGGGAGTACTCCTGTCCGGTGCTTGAGGGGCCAGGTGTCTCCAGACATAGGATTTTGATGGGTATGTGGGTTGTGGATGCTCGGCGTGACCTTCTTCCCATGATCTTGCATCGCCTTTCCGAGATGCTACATACAATCCCAATCCACTCAAACTATCCTCACCTGAGCCACGTCACCCCTAAGCCCCAAAAACTACATAATCAGCTGATCAGATCAAGGTCGTTTTACCTGCCCATGCACGTTCAGGGCACTTTCACACTGGTTGTTTCCAGAGGTGTTTCCGAGCAGGACTACTTCCAAAAGAACCTAGGTTGGGTGTAGGCTCAATCCCTCGATCGTATGCAAATGCAGCTATAAATAATGGCCAATCCTTTCTATACGAGGGAACAGAGTCATCGCAAACCTCCACTTTCATCGGCCTAAAACAGTATCCTCTCACCTCACTTTCTCATCCTTTAACCCCTTGCTTCCCCCCGTCCTCCACCCCACCCCACCCCCCACCTCTTTCCACCTTTCCTCCCCTCCACCTCGCCCCCCTCTCACCCCTCATGCCCTTATTCCCCTTTCCAACCTCGAGCCGCCAACGAAGTAAGTACACAATTCGTGAATCTCCACCTACTCCATTTTTTGTCCTAGGGAATACACACACTAGAGTTATCTTGGTCGAATGTGGACAAAAAAGCAGTCCGGTACATGCAAAAAAGTCCAAGTGCCACGTATGCCTTACTCCCTTCCCCACCTCGCATAGATACACATATTCCTGCCAGTAAAGGGGCGTGGTCCCACTCGATAAAAAGCACCATGTCTACAGGGTCATCCAATCGCAATTTAACCAGGCCCAGGATGGTGCACTCTTGTACCTATTGGTAAAGGGGTCACGAGTTCAAGCCCTCAGATGATTCCTTTTGTTCTCATTTTTTTTCACCCCAGGAAAAAAAAAAAAAAAAACTTCTGAAATGGAGATCTTAGAGAATGCCCAGCGCACCCTGTCCGATATCTTCTCGCCTCTCTGCGTGTTTACTCCTAATCCCCCTCCACCACTCCTAGTCCGCCTCGGCCACAAATAAGTGGGGTCATGGCGGCACTCCACAAAATCACTGAAAGATATCTGTCCGTTAATCTCGACACAATCTATGGTCAGCAATAGTGCTCTGGAAATGGGAAGTGCAATCATGTCCAGCACAACCCAGTCTTATTGTTGCCCCTCTCCCTTCTCCCTTCGTCTCCCCTTACCTGCCACGCAAAAATCCTACCAGCAGTGTGAGAACCAAGATCACTGATCTCTGGCTGCTGATCTTAGACAATCCATGGTCAGGAAAGAGCAATGGATGGGAGACCCGCCGTCTTCTTGCCTCTCTCCTCTCTCCTTTTACTAGCCATGCAAATATCTTGGTGTGTGTGGTCCCACCTGAGCGAAGATCACTGATCTCCGGTTTTTTAACTCAGACATTCATTGTCAGGAAAGAGCGATTGGTACCCCGTCGTATTCTTGCCTCCACTCTTTTCACATGCCGTGCAAATATCCTGGTGTGTGCGGTCCCACCTGTGCCAAGATGGCTGATCTATGGCTGTTGATCTCCGACAATCTATGTGGTCGGGAAAGAGCTGGTGTGTGTGGTCCCACCTGCGCCAAGATGGCTGATCTATGGCTGTTGAAGATGGCTGATCTATGGCTGTTGATCTCCGACAATCTATGCGGTCGGGAAAGAGCTGGTGTGTGTGGTCCCACCTGCGCCAAGATGGCTGATCTATGGCTGTTGATCTTCGACAATCTATGCAGTCGGGAAAGAGCAATGGGAATAAAGAAAAACAGGCGAGCACAATCTACATTCTTTTCTAGTCTTCACGTTTGCTCACCCATATAGCCCATATCCCACACTAGAGTTCCATTGATGGATCTGGATGCATTCATGCGCAGATTCAGTTCAAAAAGTCCACTAGAATGAGTACAGCCTGGGTCCTAATCCTTTTCTTTTGGCCCTTTGGCCTCACCACGCTAAAAATAACTCCTCATAGGACACGGGAATGTGAGGGCAAGTTATCCTTCAGCATAATCACTCATCGGCAGTTAAGTAATTACTTATTAATTAATTAATTAACTAAATAATGAACCGTAACCAATCTACGTAACCTGCATACAGAGACGGGTGTAATTAATTAACTAATGGATTGAGATGAACAGGATCAGGCTTTCCCTTCAGTAATTAACTTATATGAAGAGAACAACGGCCCCCATCACGAACACACCACTAAACCAAGGATCTAACCTACGGGGAGAAACGAGTGTAATTAATTAATAATTTATTTATTTATTTATTTAAATCATTAACGAAGGATCTAACACAGTCTATGTGGCCGGTAATCTACGTAACCTATGGACAGAGACGAGTGTAATTACTAATTAATTAATTAATTAATTAATTAATTAATTAGTAAGGATGGGAAGAATCACATCCCCCATCACGTGCAAATCACTAAAACATGGATCTCACCCACGTGAAGGACAATAATCCGAGTCCTAATATTAAACAATTAATTCTTAATTAACATTAATAGACTAACGCTCTCCCTCACTATAATGTAGTCTAGATGCGCAGAATCATATGCCCCCGACCATGTGCAAATCCCTAATTAGCTGGGCTACCAGCCAGGCCGCCCGGCTCCACTCTATTTTCCCGGCCGGGCAAGGACCAGGGAAGATCCCAGCGAAAAAAGAAGAAAAAAATCCGAAAAAAAACTATGTTATGCAGAAAAATAAACTGAACAACTTTTGCCTCAAGGTCACATCGAAACTCTTTAGGAAAAATTAAAATTTAAATTAAACTTTTTTTTTTTTTTTTTTTTGGCCCGGCCGAGCAAATGGACCCAGGCCACTCTGGTAGCCTAGCTAATTAGTAAATTAATTAATTAAATAATTATAATCAACACAATTCTCCTCTCCCTTATCAACGAATTTAGATGAACAGGATCAAGTGGCCAATCACATGAAAAAACATGGATCTAACCCGCAATTACGGCACATAATCAGAATCCGAATCCCAATTAATCAACTCTTAAATAAATAAATGATTAATTAATTAATTAATTAATTAATTAATTTCGATAAACCGATTTAATATCTCCCTTTCTAATAAATTTAGACAAGCAGAATCACCTCCCCCATCACGAGCAAATTACTACCTTGCATACGATCGGAAGTATGAATTCAATTGAATTGTGATAATAAAAATAAAATAAAAAATAAAAAATTACTACCTTCCTAATTTCGATGAGCAGAATCACGCTGTCCCCCTTATTAATTATAACGTAGATGAGAAGAATCACGTGTTCCCCAATCACGTGCAAATCACTAAAACATGGATCTAACCCGTATTTAGGCAAAAATTCGCAAATGCTAATCCTATTCCTAATCCTAAATCGTCTAAAAGTAGATCCCCGCTTTAAATTTTCCCCTCACCTTTCCTCCCTCCCCTCCGTCTGCGCCCCCCCCTTCTCCTCCTCTCC